TGCCTATTTTACAATGAGAAAATGGTGTAGTATCAGATTGATGAACATCGTTTAGATCTTGTATATCATTAAAAGAAACATACTGAATGAATTTAGATCGAGGCTTATGTATCTGATATAAAGCTTGGTGGTTTAGCCATTTTTTTATCATAGATAGAGTGAACTTATACCTGGCTTTCTTGCAAGCATCCAGCATTTTTTCAGCTATCTGATAATAACCTTCATGCCTATAATAAATTTTTTGCAAAGTAATCTTCCTATCCAAATCATGGGCCCTTTGTGGGTCAATATAAATTACAGGTTTCTCCATTTCTTTGTTTTATTATAGTAGATAAAAAATGGAGGAATTACAGCAAAGTAATCAAGAACTTCATAGAGGCTTTATATAACCGTACCAAAAATTAAACATCATGGCCTTGCTAATATCAAGAATTGCCTACTCTACATAGATTGGTTTGTTTAGAATCACTGTGCTTTTTAACATGTGAACAGCTGTAATTCCTCTTTCGAATTGCTTGAAACCTACAAATAATGGTGAACTTGCTAGATGTCTGATTTTTTTATCCTCTTCTGTTCGGAGTAATTCTACTCTCATATGTTTACGGACATTCTCTATCTGCTTGCCAAAGACTGCATTATTTTTTAGCTTATAATACACGACCCCAAACTCATCCTCATTTGCCTTGGCTATTTTGCATTTACGAATATTTTCCTCAATATATTCTTTCATCCATAGAGACTGCCTAAACTTGAGAGTGCTATGAATCTTTGTAACCTTCATTCTGAACTTCATATATATCTGGAGAGCTCGGTAATGAACTATATAATTCTTCTTAGTAAAAAGGGTCTGAACTAGCTTTTCTCCAGATACATATTTCCCTTCTCCAACATTTTTATCACGCACTAATATTTCATTGTATAGACTAAGCCAGTTTTCTGGTATTATCTGCTTTTCTGGCGCTAAAGGATAATCTGCAAAGTAATCATGCAAGTGTACTGGGGCTTCTAAATCAACTTCAAGTATATAGCCTATTTCTGTATCTGATGCAATACTTTGGATGTTGGGTACTTCCTCTGGACTTACCTTATCTAGGATTTCTGTAAGCATGTATTGGGTCATTGCATCTGAATATAAGGCATTCATATCTTCATATAAGAGCTAGGACTTCGGCTTGCTGGACTCATAGTCTGGACATTGTGGATTATTTGCTTTAGCATATTGATAACTTGCCATTGTCATTCCTCCATGGATTCCATTTTCAACTATCAGATACTCATCCATATCTGTCATGAGCTTAAGTTCTACCCCGCTACTTTTGTATAGAGAATCATTAAACATTCCAGGTACAGAGACGTAGTAAGATGGATCTAGACCAATGTCTTTGAGACACATTATGGTATAATTCATAAAAACATCCGCAAGTAAAAGTACATTAGTCTCAAGATAAAGGTCATGATATTCTCCAAAGTTCTTTATCTCAAATATTTGCCATACCTTTTGTACATGTTCATAATCTTTTTTACTAATATTTTGTTGACTAAGAAGTGAATAGAAATCCTTTTTAGACGGAAGGCTTGTTCTGTCGAATTTTTCCTATGCATTTGTCTAGTTATATAGAAAGATACCCTTTCAAAAAAGAAGCTTAATCTTGTCTATTGAATAGCCTTTTTCAGTAAAATACTTAACACTTAGGGGAAATTTTTCGATTTTCCTCCTAGGCATTCAACCAATTTATCTAGCCCTATTCTCATATACTGAAAGCTATTTAAGAACCAAAGCTGTTCTACATCCATGGCTTTGTACTTTTCTATATTCTCTGGAATGCAATTTAGCTTATCAGCCGTGAACTTGCTTACAACTTTCATAAACAGATGAGAGTCATACTCTCAGAAATTATGACAGATAAGGGGTATTTTAGTTTTGATAGAGCCTATACGCAACTTTTTATTTTAAGAGTCATGAGCTGGGCCTTGGTACTTTCTATTTATATGATCATGATCTTTTACTTTTCGAATAAGTGCACTTAAAGCTTCTCGATATCTTTTCTGTGCCTCTTTCTTTTTAGGATGTTCTTTTTTTATGCATGATTCCCATTCTTTGATTTCCAATAAATTATGCTTTGCTTCTTTGAGTTTTTGTACTATCTCTGGTGCTGGTTTTAAAAAAGGTCCCTTGCAAATCCAGCATTCTGTTACCTCATTGTATGCTTTAAGATCTCCTGGTGCTATTATCATTTCTGCAGATACAGATAAGTCCTCCTGTATATTTGCTAACTTCTTCTCGATTTTTGTAACGAATCTTTCAAGCGCATCTGGGCCCTATATAAATCATAACTTATGATTTCATAGTTAAGTAAACTATCTATACGAACAACTATATAGCAATAACCACATAGCTTGTATATCTGCAATCTTTCAGTATAAGTTAACTTCATTTTCTCTTCTGGAGTTAACTTTTCGGTTAACATTTCTAGATCCCAAAAAATGCGATATGAATTTGGTTGCATGCATTTATGATTATAAAAAGCTTTGATATTCCTATTCTTAACTAGCATTTGTGGTTGCTGGGGGCATTATTTAGACCCTTGCATTTTGGCAAATATTCATTGTATCTTATCTCTGAAGAGTATATATGAAGACAATAACGGCAGAGGTATTTCGTCCTTTATGCTTGCTATGATTGTATACCAGCTTATATAAATCTTTAATAATATAGTAG